AAATGTTGATATATGAGAGTTTTTAAAAAAAGTTGCTTTTATTTAAAGTATGACATTATCGATATGTCAAAATAACCTCAATGACAACACATTATTCTCCCATTTCTAAGTCAACAAAACTCTCATTTTCATGGTCAAAGTAAAGGTAACCAGGTAATGTTTTTTTTTCTCTCCATAAATTGACCAATACCCTAAACATTTTGCATGAAAATATTAAATGTGTAACAGCCGTGATTCAGCAGTGGACATCCTGCTAGACTGTCAGCTTGCTGGTCTAGTTGTTTCAACATCCCGCTAGACTGTCTCCTTGCTGGTCTAGTTGTTTCAACATCCCGCTAGACTGTCTCCTTGCTGATCTAGTTGTTTCAACATCCCGCTAGACTGTCTGCTTGCTGGTCTAGTTGTTTCAACATCCCGCTAGACTGTCTGCTTGCTGGTCTAGTTGTTTCAACATCCCGCTAGACTGTCTCCTTGCTGGTCTAGTTGTTTCAACATCCCGCTAGACTGTCTCCTTGCTGGTCTAGTTGTTTCAACATCCCGCTAGACTGTCTCCTTGCTGGTCTAGTTGTTTCAACATCCCGCTAGACTGTCTGCTTGCTGGTCTAGTTGTTTCAACATCCCGCTAGACTGTCTGCTTGTTGGTCTAGTTGTTTCAACATCCCGCTAGACTGTCTCCTTGCTGGTCTAGTTGTTTCAACATCCCGCTAGACTGTCTCCTTGCTGGTCTAGTTGTTTCAACATCCCGCTAGACTGTCTCCTTGTTGGTCTAGTTGTTTCAACATCCCGCTAGACTGTCTCCTTGCTGGTCTAGTTGTTTCAACATCCCGCTAGACTGTCTGCTTGTTGGTCTAGTTGTTTCAACATCCCGCTAGACTGTCTCCTTGCTGGTCTAGTTGTTTCAACATCCCGCTAGACTGTCTCCTTGCTGGTCTAGTTGTTTCAACATCCGGCTAGACTGTCTCCTTGCTGGTCTAGTTGTTTCAACATCCCGCTAGACTGTCTGCTTGTTGGTCTAGTTGTTTCAACATCCCGCTAGACTGTCTGCTTGTTGGTCTAGTTGTTTCAACATCCGGCTAGAATTTCTGCTGCTGCTTTTTCTCTTCCTCTAGTTTCTTAAGGTAGAATTATAAAGATGTGCTTCTTTTATTAATACCAAAAAAATTGTTCGGATTCTTACAGGGCAAAAAGTCAAATGAAGCAAAAACTTGGAGAGTGGAAAAGGCACTAGAAATAACTAATAACTTTTTTTTAACTTCCGGCTTTGATAAAACACAGACCACTGACATCCACATCACTGTGACTTCCAACTTTGATAATACACATTATTTATTATTTATGCCTATGTGATTCATTTCCCAATGACTTTAGACTGACAATACAGACTATTCTACCCATCCTGTCACACCAACTCAAGATTCTGACAATGAACACACACAACATACCCCTTCACGAAACAAAACAAACAGAAAAACAAAAGATAAGGTGTATAAGTGTGCATACTGTACACAAGCAATTTAGGGCAGCCAATCACAAGACTTGGCTATTCACAGCCACAAAATCACACCCATCCCCAAATAATAAAACTAGTTTGTTCAACTAATGTTCATTAAATGAAATGATGACAACACTTGATAAATGCTATGTTTAAAGTTAAACAATCTGATAAAAGATAAATCAAATGCCTCAAGTGTTATAGACTTTTGCATGTATTAGGTTATCGACTTAATATGTCATAATTTGGTGTGGAAAAGCACTGCCATAGTATAGCTTTAAACTAGTTCCACAGCTGAATAGCCAAACCACTAGCAGGTCAATTTGACACCTCACGCGTAAACAATGTCTCTCAAAGCCAAAGGCAGACAAGAGGAAAAATAAAAACCCAAAATTTACACAATAAATCACTGAAACTTCACGGCCAATGCTCGGCAAAATGATTCATACAAAATTCACAGCTAGATTTTTCAAGCAAACAAAGTACTGACAGAATGAAAGCAGATCTGTTCATAACAGCTGGACTGTGATGATGATGAAATGTGTGCATGGTGTTAAACTTGGAGCATCTTGAGGTATTGGCAAGCCAAGAAAGCAGTCAATGCATCTGTTAGTGTATCTTCTTCTACAACTTTATTTTCTTCTTTACCACTTCCTGTGTCAACAAAGATATAAGGTTCAACTTCTTGCTCGTCTGGTCACCTTGAGAACTGAAACACTGCGCTGTTGTAAAGTTTCTCTGATTGTTATCTTTCCATCCTGTTTTTAGTCTACCTCTTAATTTGTGTCCCTTTCCTATTTTGTTGTATGCCTTGTGTGGTATAAAGCTGGAGGTGTTTTCTCAAAGCAAGAAAATCCTTTTATTTGCTGTCGTTCGACGTAATTTAGTACTGGTCCTGTTTCTCTTATGATTTAATACTTTCGCTGTGTACACCATTTTAAAAATGCTGAAACACAAACAACCGGAATATTCATCTGTATGAGGTGTGAAGGCCAATGTCTTACAACCTTTCTCTTTCTTAACTCAGACTGCAGGTATCTCAATGTAAATCTAAGCAAATCAGAGCAATGACTGTGTTTCGAACTGGTTCTTTCATCCATGGAAGCCTTAAACTGGGTAACTGAGAAACTAGATCGTTTGAAGCAAAAGTACACTTTAAAAATAAAAAAACATGTGCTAAAAAAAATTTACCCAGAAAATACGCATCAGAGAACTGTATGCCCTCTTGTACAAATAAATATGAATTTTCCAAAATACATATGAAAGAATGAATTGATAGATGAATTTAGCATGCACAAATAATCAAACCTCATTCAAGAATTCACAATCATATCTCCGCTCCTACTAAAACATTGACTTAATTTACTTTTTAAGCTATACATCAACAAACCAATGAATCTCCAAATTAATTTAGTATGGAAAATTGATCAATCCTCTTTCAAACAGAATCGATTCTCATTCTCATTCAAAATAGTCATATGGCGGCTTCTATTAAAACCTTTACTTTATGAATACACATGAACAAATCAATGATTATGCAGAACATCTTAACATGCACAAACAACCCTCATCCAATGTTAATCAAATCCCTGCCGTTACTAAACATTTAAACCTTCACTTTTCGGAACCAAGCAACTCTACACAGGCTCATTAGTTAGTCTAAATATAATCTGGTAGCTTCATTAGTTAGTCTAAATATAATCTGGTAGATTCATTAGCTAGTCTAAATATTATCTGGTAGGTTCATTAGTTAGTCTAAATATAATCTGGTAGGTTCATTAGTTAGTCTAAATATAATCTGGTAGGTTAATTAGTTAGTCTATATATAATCTGGTAAGTTTATTAGCTAGTTTAAATATAATCTGGTGAGTTAATTAGCTAGTCTAAATATTATCTGGTAGGTTCATTAGTTAGTCTAAATATAATCTGGTAGATTCATTAGTTAGTCTAAATATAATCTGGTAGGTTCATTAGTTAGTCTAAATATAATCTGGTAAGTTTATTAGCTAGTTTAAATATAATCTGGTGAGTTAATTAGCTAGTCTAAATATTATCTGGTAGGTTCATTAGCTAGTCTAAATATTATCTGGTAGGTTCATTAGTTAGTCTAAATATAATCTGGTAGGTTCATTAGTTAGTCTATATATAATCTGGTAAGTTTATTAGCTAGTTTAAATATAATCTGGTGAGTTAATTAGTTAGTCTAAATATTATCTGGTAGGTTCATTAGCTAGTCTAAATATTATCTGGTAGGTATATTAGTTAGTCTAAATATAATCTGGTAGATTCATTAGTTAGTCTAAATATAATCTGGTAGGTTCATTAGTTAGTCTAAATATAATCTGGTAAGTTTATTAGCTAGTTTAAATATAATCTAGTGAGTTAATTAGTTAGTCTAAATATTATCTGGTAGGTTCATTAGCTAGTCTAAATATTATCTGGTAGGTTCATTAGCTAGTCTAAATATTATCTGGTAGGTACATTAGTTAGTCTAAATATAATCTGGTAGATTCATTAGTTAGTCTAAATATAATCTGGTAGGTTCATTAGTTAGTCTAAATATAATCTAGTATATTTATTAGCTAGTTTAAATATAATCTGGTAGGTTCATTAGCTAGTCTAAATATTACCTGGTAGGTTCATTAGCTAGTCTAAATATTACCTGGTAGGTTCATTAGCTATTCTAAATATTATCTGGTAGGTTCATTATTGAGCTTAAATATAATCTGGTAGGTTTCATTTGTTAATCCTAATATAATCTGGTAGATTCATTAGTTAGTCTAAATATAATCTACTTTTGCCTTTTTTTTTTTAAATTAGTCAGTTGTTATCTTAACTGATTCTATCTTAAACGTAACCTTAGCTCCTTTTTTTAAATACAGTATTATTTTAACTCAAGCTGACCCAAATATAGTGTGCTGACCCAAATATCTGCCACTAACTAAACATTTAATGTTCTTATTTTTACGCCATGCATGAAAGGACCAATAAATGCGCAGATAAATCTAAAAACAAAAAATGGTTATTCCCCACGCAAATATACGTAACGGACATTCACAACTTGCAATTACTAAAAATTAATCAAAACCTCATACACAAGATGACATGACAAAATCCCACCCAAATTTTTACACACAACATTTCATCAATTATATGGATGGCTAAACACAACAAGAATGGTCAATGGTTACAAGCAGGGACAGAAAATACATTTGATGATGATAATGGTGGATGGGTAAATATTGGAAAAGATCAGATAAGGACATGATAAATTCTAATGAATTAAAAAAAAAATCTTAAACTTATAGACGATTGACAAGACCAGCGATCTACAACGTAACACATGCATGATCTCAATAGCAGGTACATTCAAGACGCTGAGACAAATATACGCCACAAGAGTATATAGCTACTACACTCCTACGATCTAACACCATCGATGCCTGTTTAGAAATGTAGCACTGCCTCCGCTATGTGAATTTAAAGAGCTTTTTATCAGTGACTAGAATCAGTAAGTTGGTTGCTGGTAGTCAGGGGTTTCCTTCTGTTGACTGAATGGTGGCTGTTGGTAAGGGTCCCCCGTGTCACTGCCTGGGAAGGAACTGTAAGGAGATGATGCATTCGGATCCTGATCGTATCCGGTAGCAAAAGCCTCTTGGGCACCTTGACGGTAGCGACGTAAAGCCAAGAAAGTCAGTCCGCCCTGTGAAATGATGATAAAGACGCTTAAATTATTTTAGCGCAGATTTAAAAAAAAACATACAACAAATAACCTTGTGTGGGTTCCGGAGCCCTAGTCTGGAAGGAAACAAGAACAGACCTAATACATCCCCCTCCCCCAGCCCAACAAGCAGGCTGTAAAGGGCAACTAATAGAGGTAGCACCACATACCCACTAATTATGACTCATGGTGACATCAAGGGCCCTTTACTAACAAATGACAAATTCTAAGAAATGGAAGTAGCAACACAATGCATTATTTACACAGACAAAATCAGTTGGCAGGGTCATCTAAGATCTAAGAAATGTAAAGTAACAACACAATGCATTATTTACACAGACATAGAATCAGTTGGCAGGGTCATCTAAGATCTAAGAAATGTAAAGTAACAAAACAATGCATTATTTACACAGACATAGAATCAGTTGGCAGGGTCATCTAAGAAATGTAAAGTAGCAACACAATGCATTATTTACACAGACATCAGATAGCAGGGTCATCTAAGAAATGAAAGAGCACCACAATGCATTATTTACACAGACGCATTATTTACACAGACATCAGGTAGCAGGGTCATCTAAGAAATGTAAAGTAGCAACACAATGCATTATTTACACAGACGCATTATTTACACAGACATCAGGTAGCAGGGTCATCTAAGAAATGTAAAGTAGCAACACAATGCATTATTTACACAGACGCATTATTTACATAGACATCAGGTAGCAGGTTCATAAGGGGCCGCATTAGCGCAGTTGATAAGAGGCTCGCTTTCAAATCCAGCTGTGACTCGCAGCAGCCCACGGTCAGTGTTCAAAACCGGGCGGCTCCAGGGGTTCACCCAGTCTCTAGGTAATGGGTACCAGAGTTGACACTCTGGGGTAAATGGAGGAATGTTGCTGTAGCTACAGAGTTACGTGTGAGCGGTGACACAGGCGGACAATTCTTATCAGCTGTCCGTACTGGTAGCAGAGCACTTATGGTTTATAACCGTGTGCAATGACGCTGGTTCACATCTCCCGACTTTACCTTTTAGGGTCATCTAAGCAATGAAAGTAGCAACACAATGCATTATTTACACAGACATCAGGTAGCAGGTTCATCTAAGAAATTAAAGTAGCAACACATGCATTAGTTACACAGACATAAAATCAGGTGGCAGGGTCATCTAAGAAATGGAGGTAGCAACATAATGCATTGTTACACAGACATAGAATAGTTGGGTGGATCAACAATACATTGAAACCAAACAGGCTCACATCAGCCAGTACAACACATCTGGCGTCACGACTTAAACAGCAGCATCTCCCAATGTCTCAGTGTCAAGTCTGAACCAGCACAGGATACAAAATAGTTCTTCAACTGGTTACTTCTTCTTCTTCTGCATTCACCATTAACAGGGTAGTTGACAGGTTATGTTGTGGTTTACAGCTAGGCCTTGATATAAAAGCCTTTTGTCCCAATAATTATATTTTAGAAAATTCCAAATTAATTGCCTATTACAAAAAGCATGTAAGTTATTTGCACCCTCCTCCACTCCAAATAGGGTTTCTGAACTCACATGGTGACTTCCTCAAATGGCACTGGTTGAGACTTAAACAAGAGAAATCATGTGTGTTGCCAACACAGCTGATGTGATTACAATCATGAAACACGCCCCAGACAAGCATACGTCTTACAGAGGCTACAGTCTCATGGTGGCTAGCATGACTGCCGGTCGGACTGGTGGCAACGTATTTTATGCACCTTCAAGATACATCAATCAAACCGTACGTTATAGAATAAGTACCGAGAAACATCCTGAATTGTAAAGGTGGCCATACTGGACACATTATAAGAAGACATGAGCAGAGAATCCCCAAATTGGCACTAAAATAAGAAACATAGGGACCGATGAAACAAGGATGCCCCCAATGATACAAGGAAACAAGGATGTCCCCAATGATACAAGGATGTCCCCAATGATACAAGGATGCCCCCAATGATACAAGGAAACAAGGATGTCCCCAATGATACAAGGATGTCCCCAATGATACAAGGATGCCCCCAATGATACAAGGATGCCCCCAATGATACAAGGATGCCCCCAATGATACAAGGATGCCCCCAATGATACAAGGATGCCCCCAATGATACAAGGAAACAAGGATGTCCCCAATGATACAAGGATGTCCCCAATGATACAAGGATGCCCCCAATGATACAAGGAAACAAGGATGTCCCCAATGATACAAGGATGTCCCCAATGATACAATGATGTCCCCAATGATACAAGGATGCCCCACAATGATACCAGGATGTCCCCAATGATACTAGGGTGCCCCCAATGATACAAGGAAACAAGGATGCCACCAATGATATCAGGAAGCCCCCAATGATCAAGGAAAAAAGGATGCCCCAATGATACAAGGATGCCCCCAATGATACAAGGAAACAAGAATGTTCCCAATGATACAAGGAAACAAGGATGTCCCAAATGTTACAAAAAAAACAAGGATGTCCCTAATGATACAAGGATGTCACCAATAATACATGAAAACAAGGATGCCCCCAATGATACAAGGAAACAAGGATGCTCCAATGATACAAGGAAGTCCCCAATGATACAAGAAAACAAGGATGGCCCCAATGATACAAGGAAACACAGATGTCTCCAATGATACAAGGATGTCCCTAATGAGTCAAGGAAAGAAGGATTTCCCAAATGTTACAAAAAAAACAAGGATGTCCCTAATGATACAAGGATGTCACCAATAATACATGAAAACAAGGATGCCCCCAATGATACAAGAAAACAAGGATGTTCCTAAAGATACAAGGATGTCCCCAATGATGCAAGGAAACAAGGATGCCCCCAATGATGCAAGGAAACAAGGATGCCCCCAATGATGCCCAAGAGAAACCATAGGCAAATGCTGATGAAAGAAGCCCAAGGTGCTGGACAGGACAGAAGGGAACGTAGAAATAGCATGCGAGCCCTGTGTTACATATGATGGCACAACAGGACAATGAATGAATGAATAAAAATGGTGAGCAACGTGATAATGATACAGTGCAATATGTAACACAGCAACCATAACAGTAAAAGAAAGCATACCCATGTGAATATGGAGAAAAAGGAAAATGCTATGGCTGCTTGGACGTTGTCTTTCCCATGAGGTGGATCTTTCTCTGTGCGGCGCCAGGCATCCGTCAGGTAGCAGAAGCCGACAAACCATAAAAATGTCCACAAACCTACAAAAATACAAAATAAAAAATTCAAATAATAAAAGTTTAAATAATTATACTTTAAATCGAGAAAATACAACAATTGTAGGTTCAAATCTGCAGTGAGGGTGACTTTAACTATTGACTCTCTCAATGGGCACTCTGGTTGGTCCAAACTAAAATGAGTGAGGAAATTCCCTGGGAAATAAAGGTTGCTGGTTCACCTTTGCTATAAAAGGGCCCATTACTTTCAGCAAGTCAAAGACTGAAGTAGACAAAAAGTGAGCTGTAGTTTGTCATGTAGTGCCACCACAGCAAGACCCTCTTGCAGATCCAATTCAGCCACTTTTCTGCATGATTCCCTGGGCTGACAAAATATACGCATATATTCAATTATATAGGTGTTCTCTTTTAGGTCTTTTAAAGGCCGAAAAGCATTCTACGACTGATGCGATCAGCATTACACCAGCTACCACTGCTTCCCAGAGAGCTGCCTTGCGTTCATTTTGAGGCAGGTCGACCTGAAAGCCCTTCTCAAATCCTAGGCTGTGTAATGCTTTGTTTTCTTGTCCCACTATGATGTTCTTCCTATCTGTCACATCGCTAACTAGGCATGAGGCAAATAGTTCATGCCAGTGTCATATGCTAAATAAACCCTAGAAAATGTGTTAGAAAACAGCCCTATCTTTGAGGCACTGCCAAGCAACATGTTGCCACACCCAACAGACATGACAACTAAGCTCTGGTGAAAAAAAAAAACAATTTAGGACATGAAAATGAAATTCCAGTTTATGACCCATAGTGGATTATTCACTTGACCAGAGATTTCTTGGCGATTTGAAATCGAGTCCATTTGTACTTGTAATAATTCAGATTGTCAGCTTTAGCAGTCAAAACAGCACTGCCAACCTGAGTAATCTATGTTGTGACTTGTCCAACATCAGACCAAAGACAGCAGACATCATTATGATCTCTGTTGTGCCTTTTCAATTATCAGACCAAAGATGGCAGACATCATCATGATCTCTGTTGTGCCTTTTCCAACATCAGACCAAAGATGGCAGACATAATTATGATCTCTGTTGTGCCTTGTCCAACATCAGACCAAAGACAGCAGACATCATTGTGATTTCTGTTGTGCCTTTTTCAATTATTAGACCAAAGATGGCAGACATCATCATGATCTCTGTTGTGCCTTGTCCAACATCAGACCAAAGATGGCAGACATCATCATGATCTCTGTTGTGCCTTGTCCAACATGAGACCAAAGATGGCAAACATCATCATGATCTCTGTTGTGCCTTGTCCAACATCAGACTAAAGATGGCAGACATCATTATGATCTCTGTTGTGCCTTGTCCAACATCAGACCAAAGATGGCAGACATCATTATGATCTCTGTTGTGCCTTGTCCAACATCAGACCAAAGATGGCAGACATCATCATGATCTCTGCTGTGCCTTTTCCAACATCAGACCAAAGATGGCAGACATCATTATGATCTCTGTTGTGCCTCTTCCAACATCAGACCAAAGATACCAGACATCATTATGATCTCTGTTATGCCTTGTCCAACATGAGACCAAAGATGGCAGACATCATTATGATCTCTGTTGTGCCTTTTCCAACATCAGACCAAAGATAGCAGACATCATTATGATCTCTGTTGTTCCTTGTCCAACATGAGACCAAAGATGGCAGACATCATTATGATCTCTGTTGTGCCTTACCCAACATGAGACCAAAGATGGCAGACATCATTATGATCTCTGTTGTGCCTTGTCCAACATCAGACCAAAGATGGCAGACATCATTATGATCTCTGTTGTGCCTTATCCAACATCAGACCAAAGATTGCAGACATCATTATGATTTATGTTATGCCTTTTCCATTATCAGACCAAAGATAGCAGACATTATCAAGACAAAACAGTGCCAACCATCACTTTCATATTTAGACACTAAATTACCAATTTTTGGTGATTATAACTTTTGTTATTTGCAACTTTGTTTTATTTAGATGTTCCTCCTCCAAGTTCTTAATACTGCTTGAGATTTGTCTTTCTTTCCTCTTCTTTTTAATCACATTTTGTTATGTTGAGGGGAAAGTATATATATCTCTCTCTCTTTCTCTCTCTATCTCTGTGTGTGTGTGTGTGTGTGTGGGGGGGGGGGGGGGGCTGCCACATATCACGGGTGTAATGAATCAATGTAATGAATCAATGTAATGATTGTACTTGTGTCTAGAGGTTAAGTCACAGCTTAATCTAACAAGACTGCACTGCTCTCATCGGTCACACTACTTCTAACGATGGGTGACACCAGCTGATACATTTCATTAGTTTATTATCACGGTAGCACAATACACGAATCAACAACGATGTCCACTTACACCATTCGGGGCAATCTCGACTTGCTCACACATTAATGCTTCAGGCATACTTCAGTCGATCCACGTGCTTTCCATTCTTTATTCATCTTCACTGATTCAGTCTTACATCCTTCCTCTCTGGGGCCCAGTCACCGAATGACCGCCTGATTCTCAATCCCCCAGATCTCACCATTCACACGTGACTCACTCTTTCCTGTCGTTTCACCATATCTCCGTGAAACCCATGCTCTAAGGGACCTCCCCAATTATATCAGTCATCCCCTGACGTTATCCCTATTTATAGTATCATTACAACGGGGGTGGGGGGGTTGAGGGGTGCACCTGAAAAAGCCTGGAGACCACTACACTATACAATATAGCAAAATTGTTAAACACCTACCTGAGATGCCAAGATCGGCCAGTACAGCGTACCGCCGGTGCTGTACACTGCTCAAATTCTCAAAGAATGCATCCACAATTAGAAATCCCAAGCAGATGAGAAATGCTAAGACTCCTACACCTGTGCCGTATCCACAGGCATTGTCGTCATTATTGATGATGCAGGAATGGCCAAACCATCCTTTCGAGGAGATGCAGCCAAAAACTACAATTGCAAACACCTGTGAATATTTTTTTTTAAGTATCAATATCAAGTCAATTTCTGCTTTTCTTCTTCACGCTTTCTGTTCCTAAACTCTGTTAGAAAGTTCTGGTTGTTTGTCAAGTTCTGGACTGTAGTCCTGCTCCAGAACTTGAGTTTTGTGCGGACACCTGTTTTTATGGGTCTGGCTTACTTGTATGCAGATTGTTGGTTCCTTGCCTGTCATGCAGATGCATTCTGTTTTCTAAGGAAACCGCTCACCAGACAACTCTTACAACATGTTTGTTAGGGAGGCGTGAATTTTATCTTTTTTTTTCTGACCCACAGTGGAGCCCCGGAACTCACACAATAGTAAAAGTGAATGATAATGATTAAACCAATTTGCCTGGCTCACCAGCATAGCTGGCTAAACCTGACTGTGCAGTGACCGGGTAATGAACTTCTTGTGGTCCAGTTCACGCCCGGGGGTAGGCAGAAAAGCCACATTTCTCTCAGATTTACGATATCTATCATGGAATCAAGGCCGAAGGGTTCCGATATCCATAAAATTGAGCCAAAGGGTTACAACTCATGGCTTATGGATCCTTAAAAAAAAAAATCAAACCAATTACAGGCTGCATGTTGTGTTGTGCAGAGTCAGAGGGATAGTGCTCTGAGAAGTGGGACAACCACACACTCAGGGATGGTCAATAATTCCTTGGGTCTAATTTCTGTACCTTGCCCACTTACGGATCAATGTGCTTTACCCTGGGTAACACTGCTGACTGACTGGCTAAAACTGAGTGGGCAAAATAATACACAAGCTGATAAAGCTCATGAACCTTGGAAGGTTTATCCACACGGACAAACCAAAGGTCCAGCACCATGATTCAGAAGTTGATGTAAGAACAAAGGCTAAGGCAACAAGACAGGACCTAAAACGTGGGCAAGGAAGAGCTCATAAGAACAGAAAGGCATTCTGCCCAAAGGAGGAAGAATCTAGATGACATTTCAACCATTGAAGCCAGAAAATTTTGGCCTAAGTGGCATGGTTTAGAAAATGAACATTCATGCATCACAATGAATGTTATGCAATACACCTCAAGTGCACCATCCTGTTTATGACTTATCATGGAAGAGACACAATGCAAACTATCACTGAAGAAGAAGAATCAGCATAAAATACAGTGCAATATTGATTTGCCAAGGGCATCCTGGTAATAATTATCCAGGGTTGAACAAGAACGATAACATTTAAAACACAATTTCAGAATGACAAAGCAGTAAAAAAAGAATCCACAAAGACCACACGGTCAAATCTTTGTTTTCATCTTAAAGCCAGTTTTCTGTGTGTGCAACACGATTTGGTTCATCCTATATTAACTACAAAAGCACTGTATGTCTAAAAACAAAAACAAAATTTCAGTGGCCAATAATCAATTTCAGTTTAGAAGAGATGTGGAAACTATGAATTCATTCAGGCACTGAAGCACACCATGAATTCATTCAGGCACTGAAGCACACCATGAATTCATTCAGGCACTGAAGCACACCATGAATTCAGTTGTGTATACTTTACAGTATGTGCATAACCCATACCAGTATCATTATTATTATTTTATGGTTTGTGGTTTTATTAGAAAAAACTGGCTGTCACCCAAAAATAACAAATGATGAAGAAATTGAAAATGTCACAAACTTTGAATATCTAGGCAATGGAGACTGTTCAACAGAAATTAAAAGGAGGATGGCCATAGCAATGCAAAGATTGAACAGCCTTAAAAGTCTATGGTTAAGCACCAGCAAGGAGATAAAAATTAGAATTTTGAGAGCATGCATCTTCCCTGTGGCTACATACGGATGTGAGTCGTGGACTATCTCTCAGTCCTTAAGAAAGAGAATAGGGGCTTTTGAGCTGAAATGCTATAGAAAGATTCTCAGAATCTCTTGGACAAAGAAGATGAGAAATATTGACATCTTAAAAGATCTGAACATCAAGGAAGATTGGCTAATAAACAGCATCCTTTCTCGAAAGCTGAAATATTTTGGTCATATCAAGCGCCACGACGGATTGGAAAAAATTTTAGCAGAAGGCATGGTTCCAGAAGGAGGGGCAGAGGCCGACCGACACGAAGATGGGCACAGGATATAAGTGACTCCTTGAGTGTGCAAGTTCATGAGGTGGGAGAACTGGCAAGAAACCGAGTTTCTTACAGGCAGACTGTGATGATAGCGACGTTCTGCAAAGGACCTGCTACATGATGATAATGATGGTTTTATTAGGTAATTTTACGTCCAGTAGTTTGTTATGCTTTCTAAGCAGCCAGCTCTCCATCTACTATCGAAATCAACGCAAAGTAATCTGATGCAGAATCGACCAAGGTACTTCAGAATTAGCACAGTAATCACTTTTTAACCTCAGGGTTATCCAACCTATGATGCATTTATTAGGACATAACTACACTGCAAGAAAACAGGGACAAGTAGTTCATGACTTTTTGTTTTACTACGCACAAATCAGTATTACAACTTGGATATCTATTAAGACATTCAGCTCCTATATTATATTCTTTGGGCTATGTGCTTAAGTGGGTTGAGAATGAAATATCTAAAAACTGTGAAGGAAACTTTACCAACCCAGGTCAACTTCATAAGCTTAGTTTTTGTGTGTTTACATGTGCTGTGAGAAGGCAATGTTAAAAACCCAGACCTAACTTTGTCATGTCTGTATGTGTCGTGTGGAGGAAACATTACCAACCCAGACATAACTTCAGCATGTCTGTATGTGTCGTCTGGAGGAAACATTACCAACCCAGGTCAACTTCATCCGCTTAGTTTTTGTGTGTTTACATGTGCTGTGAGAAGGCAATGTTAAAAACCCAGACCTAACTTTGTCATGTCTGTATGTGTCGTGTGGAGGAAACATTACCAGCCCAGACATAACTTCAGCATGTCTATATGTGTCGTGTGCAGGAAACATTACCAGCCCAGACATAACTTCAGCATGTCTGTATGCGCCGTGTGCAGGAAACATTAGAAAATGAGGCCTAACTTCAGCCTTTCTATGTGCTGAATCACGACCTGGTTACAACCTGATTTGCTTCCCCATAGATATAAAGTCCAAGCACCACTTTTGCACATCCTACTGGCTTTCACTAAGGAAGGAGATTAGCACTTTTCTATCTTTCCAGTCGATATTGTTACATGAAGCTGTAAGGAGGCATTAGAATCACAACCTAAGGCAATCCTGAGTGTGGCTAGTAAGACCCGCTAGCATTAAGAACATTCTTTCACAATTAGAGCAAGATTAAAAGTGAGAGGACAGACTTCATTCCACTGGCTTATCTCAAACAGCTCGGCCCCTCCCCACAGAAGGGCTAGCCACCTGCCTAAAGCATAACACAAAGCATGAACTCTGTAGCTCTGGTAATGATCCCCAGGGGTCTCTGTAAAATTTGGCTATTATGAACTGAACGATGCAGTCCTAAAATAAACCCACGACCTTCAGAGTGCGAGGCATATGGCTTCACCACTTAACTATGAAATCTGCAATGGATTTCATAACCCATATTGTGATCGCACACATTCAGCATGCTTCTTTTTGGACACTTAGCTCTTAACCTAACTAAAATCTTCTTTATCTTTATTCTGGTCGTGCTTCCCAATCCATGGCATAAAGGAAGGAGTCTCTATGAAAATAGTACTCTGTTACTTCTCAGAGAACAAAGTCTAAACTTAAACCTTACATGGCACTATTTACTAACAAGATATATGTAAAATTTAACCTCAAATAGTGGATTCTCAGAATACCAGTGAAGCTGGATATGTTTTTGTTTTTTGTTTTGTTTTTAGAACACCAATTTATTTGCAACAACAAAATGAACCAAAATCCAGGATGTGAGATGAAGCCTCAAGACCTCTCAGTGTTACCTGACAACATCTCAATACCTTTTCAATGAACTAGGTCTCATGATAACACTGCCGAAGGAGGACTTGAGTAATAGATAATTCTAGATTCATTTTCTGCAAAGGTGTGGAGGAAATGTACTAACTGAGGCCTAACATCTGCTTATTCAGTTCTGCTCCAGATTTGTTGTTTAATTGTTTGCTCCTCTTTTTCCATAATTTCACAACAAATATATCCTATGGGTAACAGATTTATAGAAAGAGGTAGAGGAAGATAATGTGAGAAGACTAGACAGTGTTTTGTAACAATATGGAAGTCTGGCAACACACAGGCTGATATATCTTGTTGGAGATTGCACATTGTGGAAAGGTATGATCGCCTACACCCATAAAAAAAAAATAATAATAATAATGGACTGTAGCATCTTGGTCGGAAGTAATCCTAACTTCCACTGCCCACAAAAGCAAACACAAAACACAGCTGTTTTACACAGCTTCCATGTTAATGAAAAGAACAGTTTTGTTTTATATGTATAACATCTAAAACTAATAGGGTAAATGTTTGTGGGCAGGAACGAATTATATACATTAAATAGGGAAAATAGTTTCAGGATATGAGTTATTTACCATATGAGCTCAGTTATGGAACAGATTAATATTTACCATATGAGCTTAGTTATGGAACAGATTAATATTTACCATATGAGCTCAATTATGGAACAGATTAATATTTACCACATGAGCTCAGTTATGGAACAGATTAATATTTACCATATGAGCTCAGTTATGGAACAGATTAATATTTACCATATGAGCTCAATTATGGAACAGATTAATATTTACCATATGAGCTCAGTTATGGAACAGATTAATATTTACCATATGAGCTCAGTTATGGAACAGATTAATATTTACCATATGAGCTCAGTTATGGAACAGATTAATATTTACCATATGAGCTCAGTTATGGAACAGATTAATATTTACCATATGAGCTCAGTTATGGAACAGATTAATATTTACCATATGAGCTCAGTTATGGAACAGATTAATATTTACCATATGAGCTCAGCTATGGAACAGATTAATATTTACCATATGAGCTCAGTTATGGAACAGATTAATATTTACCATATGAGCTTAGTTATGGAACAGATTAATATTTACCATATGAGCTCAGTTATGGAACAGATTAATATTTACCATATGAGCTCAGTTATGGAACAGATTAATATTTACCATATGAGCTCAGTTATGGAACAGATTAATATTCATCATAGGAGCTCAGTTAGAGAACAGACTAAATTTATGTCCTTCCCTGTACATGTTCCATTCTTTTACACTTAAATCAAATTTGGATATTTTGACTCTGCAGTAATGCTGCATCAAAGATATACTTCCAGTTTAATTATCAATGGTACTGTCATTTTAATAATGTGTCCTGTACGAGTGGACAGTGTTTTGAAATCTTCATCATCATCATGTACCATGCCAACTGGCGTAGGCTCTCATGCATCTTCACAGATCACGATCACTAGACTGGAGCAGCTCTTTTGATGATATCCCTCCATACCATCGTTTTAGCCCATCCAGCATCATCTCTTTTGGTCTGCCTCTACTGCTCTTTCCAGCTGTCACCATGTTTCCCAATGCCTCTCTTCTCATTATGTGGCCAAAGAACAGTGTTTGTCTCTTTCTTATGGTTTTATAGAGAGATCTACTTTCATTAGCCTCTTTCAAGCAATCGTTGTTAGTTACTCTGGCCGTCCAAGGTATTCATAACATTCGTCTCAGAAACCACATCTCTGATGCTTCCAAATTCTTCTTAGTTTGTTCAGTGACATTCCAAGATTCGCTGCATTACAGCACAACAGTTCTATGTAACATTTAAGCACCCACATTAAATGAAAGGTTTTTCATTTTCTGAAAAGCAGCTTTTGCTTGATCTATTCTGCTTTTAATCTCTGTCACACATTTTCCATCTGATGATATGATTGTTACCAGATATTTCAATTTATTGACTTGATTAAGTCTTTTTACTTCAATTGAGACATCACAATGTGGAATTTTCGTCTTCTGTGATACAATCATTACTTCCGTTTTCTTAACACTCAAAGTCCTTTCTTAGCACTCTCCATCCCCACAAAATCCAGCAGTTGTTGTAAATCAGTTGCATTTTCAGCTATCGAAACTGTATCGTCTGCATAATGCACATTGTTTATATTGTATCCTTCAACTCTTACTCCTGCATTCTCTTTAATTTCCCTCAAAATTATTTCACTCTATAGAGAGAAAAGGTCTGGGGATAAAACACATCTTCTTCACTAAGTATCTTTTAAAGCAACATTCATATATATTTATATATATATGGGAAGATAACTGAGCAACTGAGCTAATTATATACTTAATAAAGAGGTCCAGAATAGCCATGAATTAAAATGTAAATGACCTTAGTGCTGCTATAGGATTGCCGAGTGATTGCCTTTTTGATCCTACAATGCCAGTGTCATATGTGTGTGATTTCATAAGTAAATATGTTTTTAACAATTTATTATTATTATTATTATCATTATTATAAGTTTATGAGTCGACCATAATCAAAATCAAGTAAAGTCCCCAAAAATATAAAAACTATAAACAGCATTTAGTAAGTGACTAAGTAAGTACAGCTGAGAATAGCTGATTTTTATTAACAGGACTAGCCTAGTCACTAGGACCAATCGTTTTAGTTTCAACTGTAAACATCACTCGCACTACTCTACAACAAACCTACTTGAACCGTCTAGATAAACAAAACAAATACTCACCACACTAACTGTCCGAAGAATGACCTGTGGCTTTTTAAGATACTGAATGGGGTCGAATGGAGCGCCCGCTTTGCCCGCTCCGAAAGCTCCTCCGCCAGCAGCCGACATGTTGTTCAACAAATGCGCATTCGTCACTCAATGACGTCATACATTATGCTGCTGCCTGAAAAAGTCTCCGGGGTTTTTCTACCGAAAGAAACTTTACAGCCGGAAATAAATAAACATTGAGAATCACATGATGTGAGGTCATCACAACTTTGATGGCGAGGGATAAGGAAAGGGAAAGTTTGTTAATTGTATGAAACCAGCTATCAGGAATGCCACAGATTCTGATCACAAAACTTTTTGTTCTAGACAGATTAAAGACGCGTCACAAAAACTAGGAGGAGGTCATAAAAAAATGTGATCTACGAAAATGAGATTTAATAATGAATAATTGTTGAAGACAGAACACCTGGAAGGAAGACGAGAGCAAGACCAAGATAGATATGGATAAATGGTGTAGACGTAACCTGCAAAAAAGTTAAAAATATCCATCATCAAGCCACCTGAGAAACGCAAGACAAATACAGAAAACCACGACACTGGACTAAAACCTGGTACCAGTGAGACGACAGAAGAAGAAGAATTGTTGAAAAAATTGTTAAGAAACAGCGAAATATATTTGCGTACAACCAAAAGCTATATCAATCAAAATGAATAATGTGGAATTAAAACAAACAAAGGATATTTTTTTTTATGTAGGGTGAATGTTTACTTTAGATGAATGAGTAAGGGCAAATCGGGAACTGGGACATGTAACACTACTTCCATGGTTACAGTTCAAATCATGGGATCTGGCCGACGTTCAACAGTCAGGGGAAAGGTGTGACGGATATACAATCAGACCAATACTGGTACCATCGGAAATGGACTGGAACCTTTGACCTTCCGATCCACAGGCGAGCGTCTAGAAGCTACATTACGTTGGACTACCATTAGTAATAATATTAATAATAATAAACGAAACGATATAAAGTACGTGTTATAGTACTTTGCGAATTGTTTGCTCATTTGGCAAGTATTAATTTTCTGGTATACTGTGGCTGCTTTCCAGGTGTGTGCAAGATTTCATTTTTAGGCTTACTGCTTTGACTGTTAGTTTATTTGTTGTGTTGTCGATGGTAGTTGTGGCTGATTTATTAATTGTTATTCCTTTGAAACTGTTCTGAAGATTTGTCCTATGGGTCGAGCTTCACTAACATCTTCTTGCTATGTTGACCTTTTCGCCTGTGATTCCTCCTCCGCCATTATAGGCATGGAAACGTTGATATATTACTGCCCCCCCCCCCTCTCCCTTTTTTTTATATTAGTTGATTTTTACCTCTTATCTCGACTCGGACTATGTTCTTTTTTGATGATCAGGTTTTGATTAGCAATTATGTACATATGAAACTAAGAAAGATAAATCCTCATTGTTTCACTCTGCAAATGAAATAATGAGTTGTCCCCTTTAAAACTGTTTTGTTGAGCTGTACAAAGATAAAGAATAACAAATATACCACCCCCTCCCCAAATATTTGACTGTCCCGTAAGCTATGGATTTTCCCTGTTTGTGGTCGTCTAATAAAAAGGTAATTTCACGACAGGCACTGCAGCAGGGAAATTAAATGAGTTTGCTCCACATATCTTCTGTGGCTGAATTTGGGAAACAATGAACACCTCCCTTCTTCCATGTTTTTCATTTTCTATCTCGCTCAAACCCAGCTGCTGGCCATGCGCATTGCATTGGTTTCGACAGTGGTATCAGGGAGCCGAACGTCCAGACAGCAATGGCAAACTACTGGATGTAAATTTGCCTAGAGAAACCATACAACAGCCAGGGGCTGCTGGTTATGGTTCTGTAACGTCCCTTAAAGGATACGAAACTAACAAACCATCTCTCCCCCCCCCCCTTTTTTCTGGTATTGATTTTCCCATATCTAGGTCAGATCTGACCTACCCAGCTATCTCAAGTTCGTCTATATCTGAATGGTTTCTGTTGTTAAACTCTATTTTGTATCGAATTCTTTATTGTATAAGCTCAACAGTTGTGATGTTTGTTTTGCCTAATCTAAGGACTAAACAAATCCATGCATACCCGACAATCGACATCAATATGCAAAATATAATAAGTAAAGTTTAGAAGTAGTATGTTGTTAAAATTATGTTGCTGTCAGTTCCTGGAAACAAAATGTTAAGTACAATTATTTTGGAAAGACTAAAAGATGCTATTGAAACAAATGTAAGAAATAAAGGCATGTTTTCGGCTAAACAGATCCTGTACTGACATCTCTCTGCGAATTGATTGGGCACTATGGATACCACAGACAATTTTTAGCTTAGTCACCTTTCAGATTGTTTTGTTGAACTTGAGGCAGATAATGAATAATTCCACAACATGCACTGCAGCAGCGAAATGAGATAAATTTCCTTCCTGTATATTAATTAAGTTGTGGGATTGGACAAATTAGGCACGCCGCCCTTCTTCCATCTGTTCCAACCAGAATCTCTCTCTCTCTCTCTCTCTCTCTCTCTCTCTTTCTTTCTTTCTTTCTTTATTCCCCACCTCTCTCTCTCTCTCTCTCTCTCTCTCTCTCTCTCTCTCTCTCTCTCTTTCTCTCTCCTTCCTCTCTATGATATCGATTTCCTAAAATCTGGGTCAAATCCCGCTACCTTAATGTTCTCTGTATCTGAATGTTTTCAACTATCCAACCTCAGCAGTTATGATCTTAGACCACACAAATCCATGGATATCGGGTAATCAGAAATCACTGTTCAAAGTACTACAGTAAGTAAATATTGGACTAGATATATACCCTGTCATGTTGTAAGGCGAAGCGTCTTTTCCCCTACAGTTACAGGCTACCCTTGAAACAAAGAAAACTGGGGTAATCCGGTGGTGTGTGCCCATGTCGTGTATGAAAATTTCTACCCAGGTATTGGGACTTGTGCTGCATTAAGTGTGTCATTGTATTTCTGGCACAATTCACAAAAATCACCCGATCTCGCCAGGCGCGAGATTTCCTACAGCCTGTCCTGTGTTCTAGGCGTGTCCTGTTTTTGTTATTTTCAACAAACGTTATATTTCCCGCGTTGTGAGCGGCCAGCACGTTCTTGGCTCTCCTCCGAACTTCGTCCTAATATTATGGCGACCATAAAATATCCTTACGGGGCTCAGGCATATGTAAAATGCGGACTTTCTGCCAAGGAACAAATCGAGGCAAAATTAGGATTACTTGACAATTTCAAGAGACGCAACGTTGCAGACAATAGTAGCAGTCGATAAAAGCGACCGTTGACAATTTCAAGCGTTTCTGCAGAAGATAATAGCGACTATTGACAATTTCGAGACATTACAGACGATGAAAGCGATATGGCGGGTAGACCACGCGCTCCCATGCAGATTAGCAATACTGTTAGTCCGACTGAGGATTTAGCAGCGGTAGATGTCAGACCTGCCGACCTGTATCCTCACACTTTTCGGCATGCGCAAAACGCGATTAAACTCACCGCCGACCTTATATTGGGGGGGGGGGGGGGCTAAACTAGGTGCCTGGGACTCACGAGCAAATTAATTGGAGGAAGTTGCAGGAGATGCTGTAGCTGCTGCTCATGAGTCCCAGCCATCTAGTTTAGCCCCCATCCGGGGGATTCGGTCAGCGGTGAGGCACAGTCACAGAAACAGGTCCGCAAGTAACATATCGCTGAGACCCTGTTGGAGCATTTGTTTCGTTATACGGAGCCGGCATATTTTTAATAGAACTGAGCCCCGAAAAGATATTTTATGGCCGCCATAATATTAGGACGAAGTTCGGAGGAGAGCTATTTTCAGCTTTGTGAGTGGCCAGCAAGTTCTATTTTCCGCGTTGTCCTGTTTGTTATCACAATCGACATCCCCTGCACTGTGGGCATCTCCTAGAATATGAGTGGAAAGAGAGACAGGTGAAAACGGGTTCAAATACAGGAGCCAAAATTGTGCTCACGTTAACTGAGTATTCATAAGCGAATTCGTGTTAACCAGGTTTTACAGTAACTACATCCACGGCCTTTTCCAGTCTTTATATCTAAAGATGGCCGTGCTACATCTCACCAACAGCCAGGCACGAAAGGTAAACAGGTCGAACGAGTCACGGCCGTCCGGGGGGGGGGGGGGGGGGGGCAACAGTGACAGGACAGGCTCCGGGAGCCCGGCCGTGGCTGTGCGAGAAGTCTTGTCAGTCAGCATAGAATGGACATATTTAACCTCGGGAAGGTGGTATATGTGTCGGAACTGTGAGGGAAAAGGGTAGTGGGTGTCTGAGATGTGTGAACGTAAAGATAACCTACAACACAAGCCGTCCAGCGTTTTATTGACAATGCTCATGGAACTGTGTCAGTAACGGGAAAACCCTTTAATTAGATCACAACAATGGGAAAACCCGTCCCTTTTCTGTACCAGAGAACACACATACACACACTGAGTCACGCACCTTCTAGTAGAAGTTCTACTGTTCACGTCTTACCTCCACTATAGGGTTGCATTGACGACAGCTAACCGAATTTATAGTGTGTGTGTGTGTGTGGGGGGGGGGGGGGGGGGTTAGGTGTTTTTGATGTGTGACTTCCTGTGTGCGAATAAGCAGCTAGCATATGTAAGCGTTAGCGGGAAACAATAACACTAGAAAGGGTATTACGTGATATCCTCATCCTCCACACATCAGCATCGCGGCTCCACCATATCAGCCAATCATCAGATAGTATTGATACCTGCAAAATACAGTATATGCTGGTCCCTTGGAGGATAGGCAGAGCGAGAGGACTTCTCCGCAATAGTCACCAGATATTGATACCTGCGCAATACAGTACATGCTGGTCCCTTTGAGGATAGGCAGAGCGAGAGGACTTCTCCGCAATTGTCATCAGATAAGACTGAAACCTACATAACACAATACAAAGCATTAGCCAGAGCGAGAGGCCTTCTCCGCAAGCACCATGTCTCGGAGAAACAAACCTAACGGAAAGCGCAACGGACAGAGGAAACAACCCACTGACAGATCTACCCGATCTAACTCGGAGGCCAGGAAGACGCAGACAGTTACTACCGAACC